TTTTCAATAAGATTTATCTTTGATACTTTACCATCTTTAAAATATGATCAAATTCTTTCAACCAAAACAGTGTGGGTTCACTAGAACGAAAATTAGAATATAATGGTTATTCTATTGGACTAATTCTTGTGTTTGGTTTTGTAAAAAGAAATGAATGTGCATACTAAATGATATAACTATTCTTCAATTTAAAAGAATAATCATTCTATTGAGAGATCAAGAAATAATAGTTCTATTCTTACTCAAAATCATTCTAGTTAACCAAACACTATGTTAATGTCTCTATCTATCTACTGTTCTACTAAACACATGATTGCTTATCTGTTTCCCACTCCAATTTATGAGTGGAATAAAAAAACGTTTTGTAGTTATGAAAATGAACTTAAAAAGTATAAATATATGCCCAAAAAGATGGAATTGGCTGGACAGGACATTATTAGTTGACCGGGAAGTCAATTGAAAAAGAACAAATGGGTTGGGTATCAACTTGGGGAGTCAAGCTTTATTATTTCAATTCAGTGTTTGTTAAGGTGCTGGAGTCTTGATGGTAGGTAATTGGCATTGGCATCTTTCCCCAATTATCAAATTTAAGGAATGAAAGTGTAAGTATTGATGTAAACAACCAAAATTGTATGAGATTTAATGTTGTTAAATTTCTTTATTCGTTTGTCTTAATATATTTTTGGTCAGAAATTAATTTTCAAAATTTTTGTGCCTTAAAATCTTATATAATTCTACGGTTGATAATGCGTTAAGAGATGGACGGTAAGATTTAGGAACAAAGGCATTGTTTGGTTGTCGAATATGAGATTAGATATAATATTTGTGGATTCCTTGTGTTTTTTTTTTTTTTTTGGTCCCCTAGTCTTATTTTTGATTACTCCTAAGTCTCCGCATGCGAAAAAGTTTGGATATTATATTTTCTAAATTAGTGGGATATGTAATAATGATCCCTCATGATATTGTATATCTCCATCATCATATATGATGTCATTATCTTTTACCCAATAGTAAAAACATAACCACTTCTCTCTTATTCATGGTATATATTTTATCGCAACCAAATATGATAAAAGTGACCTAACGGCATATTATTCTCACTCCTTTATATTCAATTCAAAGAATCAAACATAGCTAAAGAGATTTGGAACGAGTAATGATATACGAACATAAAAAATATCTAAAATAATATGACTACATTGAAACTTATCATTTTAAAATAAAATATTCATTAAGATGATATTTAATTATTAAAAATACTACCACCATCTTATTATAAAAAAATTTCATAAAAATAACATCTTCATTTAAAGAGAGAAGATCCCTCACCACAAACACACACAACACACTTGTCATTAAACTTTTTAACAAGCAAGTGGGGTGGGGTTGGTAATAAATTCTAATTTGAACAATAAATTAGTCAATTGGTAAGGGGATTAAGGAAAATAGTAGTAATATGCCACTTTTCATATTTGTACTTGGGGCCTCACCATCCAATAGAACCTTTCATGTCCATGAAAGAATTTTGTAATTGGTCCCTTGCTATGCACTAGGGATACATGAGGCTATATATAAGTTATCTGGACATTCTTTGTAACACTAGATATATAGTCCTTTAGTTTTTTCTTTTTTTCTTTTTTCTTTTTTCTCTCTAATTATATGGAATTAAAAAAAAGAATTGGTGTTTGGTGCATGGACCCAAATCCCATGGTGCACTGGTCAAACATGTGGGACAGGCTAATCTTAAAACCATCTTGGCTGTCTCTCAAATATTACTAATAAACTTTATACTTTGGGAATTTGGCTCATTTCGTCCAGTGGTTAAAGTTTAATGCAAAGAAGGGTTGGCAAATTACTTTTGGTTGTTCTAACCAAGCTTTTATTTATTTTTATTTTTTTGAACAAGGAAAAAGGAGGTTCTGTGGGGGCATCACGACTTCCGCAGGTCCAGGTCCCGGGATAGCCGGTTGCCGGCCTGGTTTAACCCAACCCATAGGAAGGGACCTACCACCAAGGCACCAGTGGAGCTCATCAACCGTCCCAGCCTTGACCAAGTGCGATCGGAGTACAGCGCGAGGTCTTAGGAAATAGCCCCTGAAAAATCCAGGATTTTTGCGCTCCCCAAAAGTCGAACTTGACCCAAGGCTGTGGAAAGGCAATGCCTTCACCACTGGGCCACCACCCTCGGTGGTAACCAAGCTTTTATTTACTTACTCCATCCTTGACCTTAGATCCCTAATTATCAATTTTGTTACATATGTTCAGTTCTTGTTCAGATTTTTAATTATCAATTTTGTTATATGTTTTGTCCCCAAATGAGATAGATTTTGATTTTATCATTCCAATCCAAAGTTAAAAGTTTATAGGAACTAATAATCAAGCCCATGCTCAACAAGATATTGCAATGTGCATGAACATGTCCATATACATTTTTGATTAAATGCATGCATGCCGATAGATCTACCTAATCTTACAATATGATAGGGGGGTTCTTAACAATCCTTTTGTTTTGGAGTTACAGAGCTGCAAGGCTGCCACTTTTGGTGCCAACATGTTTCAACCCAATTTTTCATTACTGGAGGCAAATCCATGTATGTACCAAGGATATATAAAATAAGAACCACTGTGCTACAAATAAAGAAACAAAAGATATCAACTTTACATAAACATAAATAGATAAAAATGTAAGAAGATATCACTAATAGGTGAATTTGTTATTTAATAGGTCCTATAATAATTAATGGTATTTTTCATCAAATATTATTTAAAAAATATCACTAATTATTAATTTTCAGCAATAATTTGAAAATTTTATCATAGAAAATATCACTAATTATAAGTTTTAGCGACAGTTTAAAAAAATTATAATAAAAAAACGTCATTAATTTTCAACCTTTAGCGACAATTTCAAAATTTTATTATAAAAAAGTTACTAATTGTAAGTTTTAACGACAATTTATAAAAGTTGTGACAAAAAAAGTTACTAATTGTCAATTTTTAGCTACATATGCAAAAAATTGTCACAAAAAATATTTTTTACGACGATTTTACTAACACTTATTTTCAATAGAACTTGATGAGAATTAAATCTAACTATTGGGACCTATTGGTAGCTTACCCTTGCCAATAAGTCTTAATAGTTAGACTTAATTCTCAAAAATCGTCGCTAAAAATAAATTTTTGTAATATTTTTTGCATATGTCGCTAAAAATTGACAATTATTGATTTTTTTTTGTCACGATTTTTATAAATTGTCACTAAAACTTACAATTAGTGATATTTTTCTGTGACGAATTTTTTAACCTGTTGCTAAAAGTTGAAAATTAGTGATTTTTTTTGTGAAGATTTTTTTAAACTATCACCAAAACTTATAATAAGACGTTTTTTGCGATAAAATTTTTCAAATTGCAGCTGAAAATTACGTTTTTAATAACATTTGATGAAAAATGTCATTAATTATTATAGAACTTATTAGACAATAAATACACATATTGACTTACATATAAGTCCCCCTATTGGTAATTTACCCAAAAATTCATATGATTTGTCAATGGACTCACTTCCAAAAATATCTTGTTTATTTATGTTATCTCTGATTTATTTATGTATTCTTAAACTTATTTCAGGTAAGGACCTTTAGACTATATTTAGGCTATGAATTTTGATAAGGATTTTAAAAAGGAAATATAAAATGTGAGCAAAATGTGAAAAATATATCAATTAAATTTTTTATATTTCTCTTTTCATTTTTTAATCACTATTAAAATGGGCAAAACACCAATAAATCCTAAATTTTAATTTGTTAAACCATTTGGTCCTGTCTTTTATTTTATAGACTAATAAGTCCTATTTGAATGTTAAAAGCTCACTATAGGCCTTTTTTAGATTTCCCTCCTTTTCGAACATTAGCAACATCAACTACATCATCAAAACATCATCAAACGTCATCAAACATCAGCAACGTTCTATTCATATTTTTTTATCAAAACAAACATCACAACGTTATCAAATATCAGCAACGTTCTGTTCATATGTTTTTATCAAAACAAACATCATCAACATTATCAAATATCAGCAATGTTCTGTTCATATCAAAACATCATCAACGTCATCAAACATCAATGTTCTGTTATATTGTATAAATATCAAGCAATTTAACATCAACAACGTTCTGTTCATATGATTTTAACAAAACAAATATCATCAAACATCAGCAACGTTCTGTTCATATCAAAACATTATCAACGTCATCAAACATCAATGTTCTATTATATTGTATAAACATCAATGTTCTGTTATATTGAAATTGCTTGATATTTATATAATATAATAAACAAAGATATCATACCAAATATAAAAAGGATTAAATGGTTTACAAAAAAACACTCAAGACTAAATAGAACAATATTTTTTAATATGGGATTTAAGAGTAATTTTTTCTATTAAAATTCATAATCCAAAGACAGAGTTGAAAAAAAATATCTCTATGTGTTTGTACCTACAAAAGATTCTAATGTGCCCTACTCCAAGTTACTTTTGCCACTAAGATTATTTTTTTGGTGCATACAAGGAATTTTTTTGAAATCTAAGTAGTTAAGGTTGTGTTTGAATTTTGGAATTGTGTATGAAATTTTTCTGAAAAGTAGTGCAAGAAGCTATTTTTTGGGTTTTTTTTTTTTTTGGCTGGTCTAGGAAAATAAGAAGAAAAATCAATGGTTCGGTTATTACATGGATGGGCACATGCAAAATGCCGTAGTCTATTGGGCCAGCTAAGAAAATGGATTAAACTAAGAAAACAACTAAATTATGCGTTTCGCAAAAACATCTACATTGGGACCCCTTTTAATTGGGCCTGAACTATATCAGCCCACAAAGAGTAACTTCAATTGTTTTGGACCTAGGCCTAGTTTTTTTAAGCCTAAATCCTCTGGGCTAAAAAGCCCATATTTCCTTACAAGTCATCAAAACCCTAAAATGTTCCAGCCTGTATGAGTGTAAAATGCGCATTTCTTATTACGAAAGGGCTTCGATAGTCGCTGATTAGAGAGAGAGAGAGAGAGAATGCAGATCTTCGTGAAAACCCTAACGGGGAAGACGATCACACTCGAGGTCGAATCGAGTGACACCATTGACAATGTCAAGGCTAAGATTCAAGACAAGGAAGGTATTTTCTTGAAGTTTCTGATCCGATTCTAGCATCTGATTTAACAAGTTAGGGTTTTTTCTTCTTTAATTTTCTTTTTGTACCCCATTTATTAATGAATCAAATATCGTTCAACAACTTGTTAGGTATTCCACCGGATCAGCAGCGATTGATCTTCGCCGGAAAACAGCTTGAAGATGGCCGTACTCTCGCCGACTATAATATCCAGAAAGGTATGTCATATATATATACACGTGTGTTGAGAGGGGGAGAGATGTATCTATTTGAGTCTATGATTAATTAATTTGTTTCATATGAATTTTTTGTGTAGAGTCGACTCTGCATCTGGTTCTGAGGCTTCGTGGTGGGATTATTGAGCCGTCCTTGATGGCGTTGGCCCGAAAGTACAACCAGGACAAGATGATTTGCCGAAAGTAAGTTTTAGTTATTTATTTTTATATGCCAATCATTTGTATACTAGTTATTTTATATAACATTGTTTTTAGGTCATTTACAAAACTCTGCTGTATTTGAAATTGGATTAACTTGTTTGCATCACTTTCAAAATTGATTCTGAAGGCGGCCAGGGCTTCATGTTAATTCGATTAAGGAAAATGTCTCGTAGCTCAAATTTTGTGGCTCAAAAGTGGCTCAAATGGCCAAAACGACGTCGTTTTGGCCATTTTTATGTTGTTCTGTACTCAAAACGACGTCGTTTTGGCCATTTGAGCCACTTTTGAGCCACAAAATTTGAGCTACGTAGCATTGTCGTTCAATTAAGATGTTGTATATGTCTATTACTTTGCTTTGTCTGCTCAATTTTTCCCAATTGCAGTCTTTAAACTTTCAAGGCAATCAGATTTAATTGTTAATGCTAAAGATTGATTGACCAAGGTTAAAATTAAGTAATAATGACATCTCCAAAACTTACTCAAATCTTTGGCTCAAACTTGTATCTCCAACCCGTGACTCAACCCTATATCATATTTAAATTTGGGTAAAATAAAAGGCTTATATGGTTTAGTTTTCAAATCTATTTTTGAGACCTCAAAATCCGAAATTTGTTTGGTTTACAATTTTCTTAAAACTTTTTTCAACCACTTTTTCTCTCTCTTCTCCCTTTCTCTCACATTCTAGACATCAATCAATCATTTTTTTTTCTCACCCATCTATTCAATTTAAATTTTTTTTTTTAAAAAAAAAACTACAAATAATCCCAAACTACAAAACTATTCTCATAACATACTACCAGACAAATTTTTAAATTTTGAAAACTTTCAAAAACTTATATTCAAAACCAAACCAAACAGGCCCAAAGATATTACTCAAATTTATGCTTAAATATGAGTTTGTGCATTGGGGTGTTTCATATATAAAATAAAGCACTGAATTTTTACTTAGAGAAAAATATTTGAGCAAGAGTTGGAGATGGTCTTGCACTCCTTTACTCAAACTTGTACTAAATTGAGATTTACTCAAATCAAGGGAGATCCATGTCCTTTACTCAAATTTCTATCTAATCCAAACTTGACACTGGGTCACTTTTACCCAAACTTTCCATTATTGTCCTTTACTCCAACCCATAGCTTCAACCCAAACTTGACACTTATACTCAAATTTGAGTTGAGTGAGCTACTAGCTCCCACATTTTTTTCTTTGGACCCCTGCTTAAATATGATGAAATCACTATTTTTTTAGCACTTGGTGGTTGTTTGGGATGTGGGTTTGGGACTAATTCAACCCAAACTTGACACTTATACTCAAATTTGAGTTGAGTGAGCTACTAGCTCCCACATTTTTTTCTTTGGAACCCTGCTTAAATATGATGAAATCACTGTTTTTTTAGCACTTGGTGGTTGTTTGGGATATGGGTTTGGGACTAATTTAGCCAATAAAGACAAAACAATCTATTTTCGCTAATAAGACAAAATGTCGTATTTAAACCATAATCATTTCATTTTTTCTCTCACAATCATCAAATCGATTACAAAAAAAGCCAATCATTATCCCAAACCAGTGTTTTTAAAGGCTCAAGGCGCACTAAGGTGCCGAAGGTCTCTTGGAGCCTAGGCGCAAGACGCAAGGCGAGGCGCGGACTTTATTGAAGTAAGGCGCACAGTATTCGTAAAAAATAGAAAAATTAATATAGACTAATCATTCATAGTAGTAAGACAATTTTTTTTAAAAAATAAAAAGTAATCAAGATTTAAGACAAAATATAGAATAATTCTCAAAGCCATGAAAGTGCATATTACATAACATTTCAATTTTCAAAGATCAAATAATCCGCATTCAATAAAATAAAAACATAAACACTAAATATCCAAAACATAAATATCCAACAAATATTAATATATGTCTTAACACTTAAAAGCATCAATATCAAAAGAAAGGGTAGGTTAGGTCGGTGTCAGTCAATCATTATCCTCAACATCAATGGCAAGCAAGCTATCATCTTCTTCTCCATCAGTTGATTTGTATCCCTCAACATCTTCCTCCTCTGTGTCATCTGAGCCCGCTTCCTCTTCATCTATTAATTGAAGTGGAGTCAATGTTGATGATTTAGATATCATCGGTTGTGCCTTTGAGCGTGAACTTGTTGCTCTACTTGCATGGCTACTTTTTTCTACTCCAGAAGCTCTAGCATCAGTGGCTCACGTCAAGCCATCATCATCATCAAACATAGGCTCATTATCTTCATCTGATTCTCCATCCATCCATCCTCCCAAGCAACCACTCATTGCTTTCATCAATATTTTGCAAAGATATGGGATCAAGAGTGTTGCGCATGTCATACCTAAATCTCAATGTTCTATTGTATTTGACATACACTAAATCATTGAGACGTTGTTGTTCCAATCTATTTCTTTTCTTGCTATGAAGCTGCAAGTATTAAAAAGATATTAAATTCTATATAATGAGAATAAAAAATATTTGAATTGAACAAAAAATTAGTTAGAATGTTAAATACTCACATGTTCGAATACACTCCAATTTCGTTCACAACCCGATGAACTACATGTTAGGCTAAGGACTTTTATGGCAAAAGTTTGCAAGTTTGGAGTATAAGAACCATATGATGCCCACCAATCAGCTGCGATAATCCACTAGTTAGAAATAATTGTTACCAAGTATTAAGTTTTCCTAAAAGTATTACTAAAAATAAACTCTATGAGTTTGTAATATATTACCTGGTGCTCTTGTATTTCTTTGCCTAATCGCAACAGCCTTGTTAAAAAGACTCTCAGCCTTCATATAAATACTCATCTCATTAGTGATCAAATCTTGAACAGTGACATCCGGGACAACCTTTGCATGCATTCATAAAACTCATTCATCACTTTATGATCTCTTTGCACCTCTAACGCTTTTGGGTAAAAGAATTCTGGGTTAAGAAAATGCGTAGCTGCATGTAAAGGTCGATGCAATTGGACATCCCATCTTTTGTCAATAATTTCGAAGATTTCATTATGCTTCTCTTCTTTATGATCAAATGAACTTGCAATGCATTCTTTTGCCCTATCCATTGCCTCATAAATGTATCTCATGGAAGGTTTCTTCTCGATATCAACCAATCTAAGCACTTTGACAAGAGGACCTGAGACCTTAAGGGCAAACACAACAGTATTCCAAAATGAAGGCATCAACAAAGTTTGTGCCATTCTTTTACCTTGTGGCTACTTTGCCCATTTGCTTGAGGTCCGGTCTTCGGAGGTGACCATCTTTCTCAAATTGTTTTTTTGTTGATGCATCCTAGACAAAGTAAAAAAAGCGGTTGCAAATCTAGTTTTTGCAGGCTTGATCAAATTCTTCAAATTTGTATAGCGCCTCATCATGTTTAGCAACGTAGGCCGATTGTAAATGTAGCCATGTACTGCAATACCCCTTTCAAATGTCTTTTTCAGTCTAGGTATCTTGAAAATTTCTTCTAATATCAAGTCCAAACAATGAGCAGCACATGGTGTCCAATACATGTGTTCATACTTATCTTCCAAAAACCTCCCTATAATGTAACAATAATGAAGAATTATTATTTTCAAGTTTTTAAATTTTAAATACAAAACAATGAGTAAACAATTTTAATGCAAGGAATGAGGAAATATTCTTACCCGCCAACACATTAGCTGCAGCGCTATCAGTGATAACTTGCACCACATTCTCTTTTCCAACTTTCTCCACAAACTTGTCTAGTAATTCAAATAGCTATTGTCCATCCTTTGAATAGCTAGAAGTATCAATCGACTCAACAAACATGGTTCCTCTTGGACAATTAACTAAGAAGTTAATCAATGTCCTTCCTCTCTTACCAGTCCAACCATCAGCCATTATGGAACACCCGTATTTTGCACAATCCTCTTTATGATACTTCATCAAATCTTCAGTATGTTTCACTTCTTTTTTGAGTTGGGTAACCCGTACTTCATGGTAAGTCGGTGGCTTCATACCAGGACCATATTGGCCAATGGCTGCAATCATTGGTCCAAAACTCTCATAATTTGTTGCATTGAAAGGGATACCAGCATCATACATCCACCTTGCAAATCTTTGCAGTGCCCGAGCTCTCATTTCTTTTTTGTAAGGGTCATTTGCATCAATTTTTGTTTGTTTCCCTTTTGCTTGGTCTCTTCGATTTTTCACCACTGATTCAGGATTGGGTGTAAAGTAAACATCAATAGGCCATTTTCTCTTTGGCATTTTTGATTTGGATTTGGATTTGGATGAACCTTGGCTACTACTTGTCAACTTGTGGTGTTGATTGACATTGATCTCAACAACATCTTCATCTTCCATGTCCATGTCATCAAAATCAGGCAACATGTTCATTTTTTTTTTAGTCTTTTTTTTGGACATGAACTCTCTAATCTCTTCTCTTACATGAGAAAGACACTTCGGGCAAGCAGTAGCATTCCTATAACCTCCCGCAAGGTGTTGTTTCACCCGATAAACACCTCCGTTTGATACTTTACCACAAAAATTACACTCAAACTTGTTTAAATTATTCTTTTCCACCAAATGGGCATATTGCCACGCCGGATCTTTTCTATTACTTTCCAATGTCATTTTCTACTTAGTACTTACTACACAACACAAAAAATAAATAACAGAAAAACAATTTCAGTATAATGAATGTAATGTATGTTATGTGATGAATTAATTAATGTATGTAATGTATGAATCAATTTTCTATTTTTTTTAATTAATGATGAATTAATTAATTAATGTACATTACATTCCATTACATTCATTCTTATGTTACATTATTTTTTCAAGAAAAAACTTTGACCAATTTATTAATTCATCACATTAATAAATTGATTAACTTATGAATCAATTTATCAATTAATTAATCAATCAATTTTCTATTTTTTTAATCACAACACATTAATCACAATACAATAAATTGATTAGTTGATAAATTGATTAATCTTTATTAATCAATTAAATTCTTATTAAATTCTTATTAATCACATTAATCGCAACACATACAACACATTAAATTCTTATTAATCACAACACATTAATCTTTTCTAATTAATTAATCAATTTTCTATTTTTTTTAATTAACTTATGAATCAATTTATGAATTAATTAATGTTATGATTCAATGTATGTAATGTAATGAACGCATGAATTAATTAACTTATGAATCAATTTTCTATTTTTTTAATTAATGACCAATTAATTAATTTCAATATAATGATGAATCAATTTCAATATAATCATAATGAATGTAATGTAATGTGTCTATTTTTCTTATTTATGTATGTATGAATTAATTAATTTATTTATGTAATAATCATAATGAATGTAATAATCATTAATGAAAAAAAAAATAAAGAAAAAGAAAGTCGAAAGAAGAAGAAAAAATTAATAATTGAAAAGAAGAAGAAAAGGAATGGACTGAACTGAAGGAAAAAAATAGACTCAAATAATTGAAAAAAAAAAGAAAAGGAAAAAAAGGACTGAACTGAAAGTCGAAGGAAAAAAAAGAAAAGGAAAAAAAAAATATGAAAGTCGAACGACCAGTGTCGAAGACGAAGAAGGAGCAGGGGAGAGAGAGTCGAACCTGCGAAGCCGAAGTCGATCCAGTGTCGCAGTCGAAGTCCAGCTCTTGTGTCGCAGTCGTAGTCGCAGACCAAGTCCAGCTCCAGCAGCTCGAAGTTGATTGCGAGGCGAAAGAGGGAGAGACGACTTCGATTAGGGTTAATCTGAGTCCTATTTGGCTCATATGGTACATGAGTTTTGATCCTCTGTGATTACGAGCCATTCGAAAGGTTCATTTGAGTCGCATCTGAGTCGTTAGATCAGATCTACAGATTAAACGCTCAGTCGTGCCTAGGCGAGGGCCTTGTGCCTCTCTCGCCTTGCTAAAGTCGCGGCTAAGGCACTCGCCTGGCTCAAGCCGCCTTGCCTGGTACCTGTACAGGCGCAGATGGTGCTCCTCGACTCGCCTTGCGCCTAGGCGCGACTTTGACAAACACTGTCCCAAACACAACTTTTTTAACTAGCCTCAAATAGCCAAATAGTAAAAAAAATCAAGCTAAAAAAACTCATCCCAAACGAAGTCTATTTTACCCTCATTTCTAATCTTTGAAATCCTAATTCTAGCCGCAAACTCCACCTCCAATTTCTCACATAGGCACCCTTGATAGCCCACCAACTCTTAGCCCTTTTATCACTCTCCCCGTTACTGTCTTCTTCGCTTCTCATCCTTCTTCCCTGCTTGCAAATTCTCTCCTCCATGATTTCTCTCTCGCTCTCCCTCTATAGAGGTTCAGTGGATGAGTGAGAGGAGGTGGTGGGGGATGTCAAGGGAGTAAAAGTGGCGGGGAGTAGGGACTGGGGAGTGTCAAGGGTGGTGGTTGTGTTGGAGAGGGGCGAAGGGCTGGTGGTTTTAGCCACAGGTGTTGAGTGATGGTTATGGTGGTGTGGAATTAGGGTTAGGGTTTGAAAGGTTAGGAATTGGGATAAAATTGGAATTTAATAGTTTCATAACAATTGAAGCTTACATGTAACCCAAAAGCATCACAGAATAAACTTAAACTGCAGTATTTCACTAACATACACATATTTTGGATACATTAGATAGAGAGAGGAGATATGAATTGGGAGAAATCCTTGAGCTCACCAGGAACCTTGGGGTGGTAGCCCTAGATCTGGTTCAAAAATCTTTCCACTCGTTGATTCCAACATATTTTCGCATTTTGTTTCCCCCAAATCTAGTGAGACTTAAATGTTGACTCAAACTTTTGATGTCTCAAATTTACAATCATACTATTGCTAAAGCTTTTACTCAAATTTTTTGCTGAAATATGATTTGTCCATTGTAGTGCCTCATATGTAAACTAAAGATTTACTTAAACTTATACTAAATTGAGTTCAACTAAATCAAGGGAGATCCGTCTCTTTTACTCAAATTTATGTCTAACCCAAACTTGACACTTGGTCTCTTTTACTCAAATTTGAGTTGAGTTCTTCCAATTAATTTGAAATTATTATTTTTTCTTTGAACACTCACCTTAATCCCAATTCTACTCTCATATCTAATCTTTGAAATTCTAACCCCAGCAACAAACTCCACCTCTAGTTGATGAGACATGCACCTTTGACAGCCCACCCCCACTAACCCCTAGCTGATTCTATCACTCCCCTACTGTCAAGTGTCCTTCCCTTCTTTTCTCTGCCTGCACTTATTCTCTCATCTCTTTCTAGAAAGACCCACCATACATCATAAATTCCTTGATTTCTCCAAATCCATTGGAGATTCAACCCTTATGTCTTCACTAAAGCTGGAGAGCTTGTCGAGAGCTACAACATGTGCTGTGGATATTGAATTTGGTCAACGTTGAGTTTTGGGATTTTCTCATATTTTCCCTCCCAAACTTAAGGTAAGGAGTTTCTTTGAGTTATATATATGGTTTTAGCATGTCCTTACTTATTTTATTATGATTATTGAGTAGAGGGTACTAGGAAGGAGGTGTTGGGTTTTAAAATGTTAGAAATGGGGATATTATTGGAATTTAATGATCAGAGTAAAATTGAAATAAAAAAAATTATGAAAAGGTAGGGTTCAAAGAAAGTTGGGTGCTATTGACAACACTTTTTGAGTTTATCTATTAGAGTGCTTCATATCAAATGAAGCTACTTATTCAACCTTCTATATATACATTTGATACATATCATATTTACGTATCTTGAATTTATATTCATATACATAGTAAATATATAAAATAAAATATTTTTTTCCATATATTGGTTGTGTTCGTGCCCTAACTTTCTGAGAATAGTTGTGGACCTTGTCTGTGTACAATAATTTCAATGTGTCATTCACAAGATCAAATCCATAATATTGGAGACTTCACCAAGACTTTGGTGACACTTCTTGAACCATTTGAACATGTCCTATTTGATTAATCTCTTCATAATAACAATGGTTTGTATTTATTAGAGCATAACTTACACACTTTAAATATGTTTTGAAACATCTATCATATAAATACGTCATATGTGTGTATTACAATGTTCTAAATTGTTTTGCATTCTTTAGAATGTAATTGTTACGCTAATGATATTTTGATGTTTAAGTTACGAAATATATGGCTTTTTAATGTAAGTAGTGTTGAGTTGCATATGTTTCATTATCTTCGAATAAATTAATCATATGTGACATAATAAATTTGTGAAAATATAAGATTTTACTGTGTCCCAAGTATCGTGCCTCACATATTTAGAAAATCAATGTGTTAGCGTGTCCATGTCGAGTTGTGCATTGCGTTTTTGTGCTACTTGGATGTAACCCAAAAGTATCACATAATAAACATAAACTGCAGTGTATATAGTTCACTGACATACATATATTTTGGATACATTGGATTTTGAGAGAAGATATGAAATGGGAGAAATCCTTGAGTTCACCAGGAGCTTTGGGGAAGCTCTAGAACTTCTTTGAGCCTTGATGAATTGGAAGTTCATAACTGCTCTATATTTTCATTAATTTGAGGCCAAACTTGGTGTCTATGGGTACTTCAAATGTAGTAGCTACCACATTGACTTTTGACGTTTGATTTTAGGAGGGTACATTCTTTGTAGTAATGACAATTTTTGTTTCTGATTAACCAATTAGTTGACATGTTTCAGGTGCTACGCTCGGCTGCATCCACGTGCCGTTAACTGCAGGAAGAAAAAGTGTGGACACAGCAACCAGGTGCTTGTACTGCCTTTATTTCATTTTGATTTTGACTTGTACCATTGTTTGTTTGTCAATCAAGATTGATTCCTCTCTCGTTTGACCTTGTATGCTAATTAGTTTTGGTATTTGAAATGCAGTTGAGGCCAAAGAAGAAGATCAAGTAGATATCTGATTTGATGGTTCTATCAGCTAGTTGTAGTTTGATGTGCCCTGTGTCAACTTCATTGCTAGTAGGGATTTATAGTTTTGGAACTCATGTCAGATTGTACTGGCTACAATGGACCACAACTATTTTTTGTTTCTTAAGAAGTTTTAATTTATGTAATTCTTGTCATTTAGATTGCACTTTAGTTTTTTTGTGGTTCAACCAAGGGGCATATTGTTGTCGTCATTTCATTTTAACCCGAAAGTAAATTACACATTATATGCTTTAGCTTGGAAAATTTATGTTGCATCTAGTTAATTTACATATTGGATTATGTTTTTTGAAGATTTAGGTTATTTACCATCCGTGAGGGCTAATAAATTTGGAGTTTAGAGTCAATTTGGTTGATGGGTATTATTTTTTTACAATTGTTTTTCCGCAAGTTTGATATCATTAAGGGTTTGATATCATTAAGGTACGACGTGGTGGTTAATATTTGGCAGATGGGAATGTCAAGCCTCAGATGCTTGGCTGAAGCTCATTCTAGAATGTTTTAATCGCTATGTATTGTTGTTTAGAAGTTTAAGATGCATACATTTCCACTTTGGGTGAGATGGCTTCTATTGTGACACACAGATTGGGCTTGAGATACGCATTACCGACTGCTCTAATTGACTCGTGAGAATGCTGTTGCAATGAGCAAATAATAGGTATTTGTACATTGCAACAATGTCCCCAAGAAGTAGAATTGTAAATGAATCGAGTTATTTATGAATAATTCAAGCTTGGCTCGTTTAAAGTTTATTTAAACTGGACTCGTTTATTAAATGAACAAGCTTGAGTTTGATTTTTAGGCTCGTTTATTAATCAAGCAGACGATTAGCTCTAAGTTCGGTCTAACAAGACAACGATAAATAAATTAATATTTATTTTTATAATATATTAAATAATTTTTTAATAATTGCTTTTATTTTTTATTTATGTTTGGTATGTGTAAATTTATATATTTGATCGATGAAATTTATTATCAATATAAGTATTATCATATATTTTATTTATAATTTTGTATTTTTTTTATCTCGATAAATAAATTAATTTTTTTCTTCAAAGTCGAGTTTGAATTCGGTTCGTTTATGTAATCGAGTGAGCTCAAGCTGAGTTCGAGTTAAACAAATATTTAACGAGTTAAGTTCGAATTTAATTTTTTAAGCTCGATTAGAGCTCAGCTAATTCTTAGTAAACAAATTTAAACATTTAGAAGTTTGACTTGGCTCATTTCAATCTTGCACTCTCAAACTTGTCTAGGCTAGGGTGCAGGATCTGGGGATCCTTCTTGGGTCGGTGCCTTAGTTGTGGGATGTTTGTTCCATTGTATGGATCTTCGTGGTCAATTTTGTGAGTGAATTCTCGAACCGCAACAAAACTAGCTAGTTCAATATGTGATTCTGACTCGTGTGAATTGGTGTGTCAAACCTACAATCATTTTTATTGACTTGTGTTAATGTCGACATGGCCTGATGAAAATGAAGCGGCATATTATTAGGATGGCAGCTGGGTTATAGAGATGGAGGATTAGACTTCTCACTACAATTATTTATTTTCCTTTCTATTTTCATTTAGACGAGTGATCTTAACCTTCTCTTTTGTTTTCTCATTTAGTTAATCAAACCTACCGTAAAACAAAATGAGCTTCTCTATCATATAAACAGATTAAATTTAAACACATTTTAAAATTTGTTATGTTTTGACTTGTTTTTAAATCAAAAATTTGAACAAATTATTATTTAGTTGAATAAACGTATATACATATTACAAAAAAAAAAATCTAATTATTTAGACTCGACTCTGATTCGATTCACTAAAAAACCCGTTCAAGATCAGGTTGGTACATAAACAAACTTAGTTTAAAAAACATGATAATTTTAATTTTTCATAAAATATTATATTCCAAGGGTAATAAAATTCTTGTTGACATTTTTCTTTTTCTTTTTCTTTTTCTTTTTCTTTTTTACTTTTGGAGAACAGAAATTCTTGTTGACATTAATTACTAACATGATGAGCAAAGCATTACCTGGATTAAGGTTTTTTTGTTGACAAAAAAGTGAAAACTTGAATTGTCAAATTAGAGGGTAAGGATTGAGTGTGCGTGACGACCTAATTAAATTTTCAAAAGAGAACAAAAGCTAAACTAACTTGATTTGCTTTGCTTGATTGCATTCTCATAGTCGTTTTTGTTTTAGCTTTCTATCTTTTCTACGTGGGTTTTTCTTAGTAAGAGTATCTTCTTTCTCGATTTAAGGCACCAAATTGACTAGTTGAGACATAAAAGACATGCACTAAAGAAAGGTTGCTTACCCATAATTCCTACTTTTCAACTACTCCTTTCCCACCTCTCTTTTTCTCAAAGTTTGAGAGAGAGAGAGAGAGAGAGAGAGAGAGGCACGTGACTAGGCTGAGGCTTGACAAATAAGAGAGACAAAGTCAAGTAATCATTTTTTCTTTTTTGTTCCAATTTTATGATGAAAAATATTTGAGACTCAAAATGAATATAATTTATTGATGTAATTTTATAAAAAAAAATTTATGAATTTGACAATTATTATCTAATTAAAATATTTTATAATTTATTATTATTATTGAATATACTTAGAACCATATTGATAATTATTATCTAATTAAAAAAACCTTCCATATGGGTCTTTCTTTGAAATATATAATAGAAAATGAAAATTGGAGTTTGGGAAATAGAGGGGGATTTGACATATTACGTGGTGTCGTTACTTTCTCTTTCAAATGCACAAATTTCCAAGACTGTGTAAAGCGTTGAAATCTGGAGCTAGTGTCGTCCTCTCCATTTGTCACCTCTCTACGTTTTATGCACTGTGCATATTATATATATATATAGAGAGAGAGAGAGAGAGAGGGTGGAGCATCGTGGCAGCACATCTTCCGGGCACTCTCCCACAGTACAGAAATGTTGCATTCAAAAATTGTCCATCGAGAATTCTCTTCATTTTTATTATTATTATTTTTTTTTATAAAGTACCAATGAGAATTCTCTTCATTTTTATTATTATTATTTTTTTTTATAAACTACCAATAAATCTTAAAAAGTAATTTTATAAGCTGTTTGCTATTTTCATTTTTTATGAATCAAAAAGTTTTAAATCTTGTTTGTTATCTTTTAAAAAAGTTAAAAGGTCAAAAAAATTTCTATCTTATTTAAGTTACATCATCTTATTTTAGTCATATAACTGTTCTATCACACCACTTCAAACCCAATTCATATTTCATAAAAATTCAAAAAATGCACTTATTTAAAAGGCAGTGACTTTGGTCCAGTCCAAGATCGGACTAGACCGTGTTGTTGGGCCCGTGGGGGCCCACCACGGGTCCCGTTTTGATAATCTGAACCGTTCAATGTGTAGAACTCGTCGAGTACTATATGCCTATAAAAAATCACGTTGATCGGATATCGATAGCTATGTGAATAAAACAGTTTTTTATCAACCGTCAATTGTTTCACCATCAATTTTTTTTATACAAAACTGGTTTGATCACATAGCTATTTATATCCGATCAACGTGATTTTTTATAGGCATGTAGCACTCGACGAGTTCTACACATTGACGGTTCGAATTATCAAAACGGGCTCAAAAAATGGGCCCCATGGGCCGAACTGGACGGGTCCAGTCATGATCTCAACTTGAGACAAGCTGGACCCTATTTAAAACATCCCAAATAACCTCTTAATTTAGTGTGAATTAGATAAATGGTCAAAATATTAGTTTTTTCATAATGTTAAAATTACTAAACATAACATTTCAAAAAAAAAATTTAGTTTAAATTTTCTAAACGTGACAATCCAATGCAACACTAAAAAACAGTAATACTCCAATGTAATACACTAAAAAAAATTAATGTACTTTTTTCAAATATAACACTCCAATCAATATAACACACAAAAACTTCTTATCCAAATGTAACACTCCAATGTAACACACTAAAAAAAAAATTTACTGTACTTTTTTCAAATGTAACACTCTAATAATATAATACTAAAAAATTCTTTAATATACTTTTCTCACGTAATAATGTAACATTCTAAAAAATTCCTTAGTATATTTTTTTCCAAACGTAATATTCCAATCAATGTCACATACAAACTCTTTAATATACTTTTCCCAAACATAACACTATAATATAACACACTGAAAAATTTATTAGTGTACTTTTTCTAAACCTAACAACATCATATTCTAAAAAAACTCATTAGTGTATTTTTTTTTCAAACGTAATACTCCAATTAATATAACACACAAAAACTCTCTAATGTATTTTTTCTAACATAATACTCTAATGTTACACCAGAAAACAACACTATGGTTCTGTTTGTAAGGATTTTCAAATCCTGATTCTATCCTCACATTAGAACATCATGTTTGGATAGAGTTTTGAAACTAGTTTTCCACAACAAATACAAAACTCTGTAGAAAACTCTCAGTAAAGCGTGATTTTCAGAAAAAAAAAAATTGAAATTTGGCCTAACTTGTTGTCTCACCAGATGTCCCACCAGACATCCCACTAGTCGTCCGCTCGGTTGACCAGAACAGTAGAGTTTTTTTTGCAATTGATATGTTAATTTTTATGTATTCGAAAAAAATATTTTTTGAATTTTTTAAATTTTTTTGTGTGCTTTAATAGAATTTTGAGTTGTATGTTTGGTTATGAGTTGTAAGTTTTGTATCAAATATCAAATGTCACATCAAAAATTTCTTACTCAATTTAAAACTCTTTCACCAAACAAATTTTTCACACTCAAATCATAATTCAAAAACTTACAAACTCAAAATATAACTCATACTCTCAAATCATAATTAGAAAGCTCTACCAAACGCAACCGTAAATTTTCACACTCGACAACCAATATTTTAATAAACAATTCCTGCAAAAAGAATTTTCCACGCCTCACTTTTCCATTCTCATTCCAAAAATAAATTAGAAAATTAGAAAAATAAATCATAAAAAGGCATTCACTTAAAGTCAAAATGGCACCAAATCAAATAAATACAACTTTCTAAAACAAAAAGAACTAATTGGTTCATAAGAAAACTTTTAGACTAAATGGATCAACATTATCTTATATAGGATTTATAGATAAATTTTTCTTTTTTAAAAATAAATTTGATATATTACATTAAAAGAAGTAAATGTCAAAAAATTAAAACTCAATATGCTTTTTATACCTTTCAAGATTTTTTTTATTTATATTTTTCACATATTTTTCA